ACTTGCAGCTACTTGACAGTTAACGACAGGAGCAAAAATTAATAATCATGTATCACTTAAACTAAGGCTTTGTGATTTTCCATAAAAATAAAAAACATTACTATGTATGTAAAAAAGCTATAAAACTTTAAAATCCCCTATAAATTAAGCACAATGGAAAAATACATTGCATGAATATTCAAGTAAAAATACGTGATGGATGTAACACTGGAAGTCACGCAATATTTGTTGACATACTTGAAACCTGATCGTACGACCTTGAAAGAAAGCATTGTAGCCTGTATTATCAGAGGTCATGGCTACATCAGTTGTAAATAGTGCAAAAATGTGAATTAGTACTTATATAGTGGCTTTAAGTGAGAAATTTTCGCTCCAATTATGGAAATTTTGTTTGAGAGACGTATGAAACCGTACAACTTTAACTGCCTACAAAATTTCAGCAAATAAAAGTGCCAAATTTAGGATTGTTTTATATCAACAAAAAACCTTCAAAGAATTATAATATCAAAGAATTYTCAAAATAAAGTGCCGCACTTTTGAGAAATTAATTTTTAAAGTTGCCACAAATTTCAATGTTGGCGAAAKTACGTCAACCATACGATGTTTGTCATGGCCCTGACACAAACGATGTTAGAAAAACTAATTTATTTTAACTCGGATGTCTAGTCAAATAAATGACAAAAACTGGGGAAACAGTAAAAAGTTGTTTAATTTTGCGTATCATAGGTTAGGAGTCCTCAAAATTCGTCGTAATTATTCGCATTTAAATCGCTTTTTTGGCCTCAAAAGTGAGGGGGGTGGTCATCTCAGAAAGTATCAGTCCGTTGAGGCTCATATTTGGCCATTCTTACTTATATTCGATACCTAATAAATGGTATAAGTTTGGGGTAAWTCRGCCGACCCCCATCTTTTMACCCTGCCCGGTTTTCTCTGACAATCACTCTTAAGGCTACAAAACGAGGATTCCTATAAAGAAAGTTTTCAAATAAGCCTCACTCCCTTGCATGCCTTTCAATCCAGTCAGTTGCTCCAAGACTCTTGAGCTTGCTCCAGGCTTACTTTGTACAGCTTAAGCTTTGTTGTCATCGTAAATTTTCATAGCTTTGATGCTCTTTCTCATTTTATTTCGATGCCCAATAAGCTGAATTCCCAATCCTTTCAAGTCGTCTTCCTCAAGAGACTTCACTTGTTCAAGGTTTACATATCCGGCTTGTTTGAAGAGATCTGCGTATTTGTCCATTTTGATTTGGGTCAGCCAATCCTCTACTGACTTCACTTCTCCAAAGTTAGCTTCTCCATTTCTGCAAAAACCATGCACGATATATCAATATTATTGCATTTGACAAGTGTTTTAGTAATTTTGAATTTTAAGAAATGGGCATTGGGCATTGGGCATTGGGAATTTGGCATTGTCAAGAAGAAACGATTACTTTTCACGATATTTATTATAATCTCTTTAAATCAACAGAACTTCTTTTCCTCACTTGTAAACTTCCTACAATTGGTGGCTTTAGATATTTTGGTCCAGTGAACATGCACAAAAACATTTAAACGAGGTTCCTCAGAAATAAAAGAATACAGATTATCCATTGTTTCTCTGAAGCCTCGTCTGCAATACTTTTGTATATAATGAAGAACCAAAATATCTAAAGTCGACTTTTGTGACAACACAATAAATATTCATTGCGTAGACTATTTTTCAATATATTGTGGTGATATTATTCTTTTCAATTACACCAAGTCTTCTGAAACAGTTTTAACTGTTAAAAGTCTTTACAATTTGCACTTGCACGTATGGAAATTTGTCAGAAGGAACATCGAGATCAAGGGATCGAATGAAAACCAATTTTATTGTCGATGGAAAGGTATACTTACGTTAAAAATCGTGAAGCTGGCTGATCACTGATCTTTTCTGGTGATCGTATAAGTTCATCAAGCTGCTTCACGATGTCTGAAAACTTGGGTCTGTTGTTCTTGTCTTTTTCCCAACAATCCAGCATGATGTTATGAATTGTCTTTGGGCAATTCTGTAAAACG